TCCACCTTCCCAGGCCTCACCAGTAACACCGAAATCCTTGTTTGGTTTTCAAATCCCTCCAGGCCTTTGCCATTTTGCCTTCCTGGAATTCTTTGAGAGCTTCACCTTTGTTGTTGTTTTTAGCCAGTAGTCAGTTGATGCCCATGCTCAACCATGGAACTGTCCCGGGTCTGATGCCATTCCCAGGATCCAATGCGGATCAGACCACTTCCATTATAGGGTTTTCAGTGGTAGAATTTTGGAACTAGACCACCAGACCTTTCTTCCTCATCTTAGTCTGAAAGTGCTGCTCAAATCTGCCCATTATCATAGCAATATGAGCATCACCACTGGCACATATGTGGTGGCTGTGCTTGAAGTGTATTGACCAGGAATTGAACTTGGGTTTCCTGTATCACTCACTGCTTTTGAGTTATTTTGACTCATAGTAACTCTCCACTGGGTTTTCAAAGCTGTAAATTACAACAGCAGATGACTGCCCATCTTTCTCCCAAGGAGCCACTGGTAGAGTCAAACCACTGGAGACGCATGGACTTTGGGTTAGCAGCACAACTGGCTACAGACTATGCTGCCAGGGATCTCTTGACCTCCTGCATCTCATAGAACTGAGTCATAGCTTACTCTCTGTTGGGTTTTGGAGGCTGAAAATCACTTGGGAAGAGACTGCTCACTTTTCTCCTGTGGAGCTGCTGGTAGATAGTGAACTAGAAAATAATGACCTTAAATTAGGAGCACAACTCTCTAAGGACTATACTACCAGAGCTCCCTAGAAGGCCCCTAGAAGCTAAAAAAGGTAAGGGAGCTCCCTTGGTTTTCCATATATTATTGATAGGTGTCATCAAGTTAAGTATGGCCCATAGAAACCCTGTGAATAACAAATCTGAACCCTGCCCTACCCTGTGCCATCCTCACACTTCCTGAACACACCAAAATCCATTGCTGCAGTCACTGTACCAATCCACCTAGTTGAGGGTCTTCCTCTCTTTTGCTGAACCTCTGCCATTCCAAGCATGATGTTCCTCTCCAAGACATAGCCCCTCCTAGCAACATGCCTGCAGTATGTGAGGGGAAGCTTTATCATCTTTGCCTCCAAGGAGCACTCTGTCTGCACTTTCTCCAAGACATAACTTTTTTTTGGCTCTCCATGGGATGTTCAGTACTCATCTCCAACAGCACAGCTCAAAGGCATTATAGTTCACCTTCTGTCATCCTTATCCATTGTCCACTGACAACATAGCTCCTCAGTTACTCAGAGAGGCTCCTGATTTTCCCAGTGCAATGTGTCTCCTAATTTCTTGACTGTTGACTGTAGATCTAAATAAGATTAAATTGTTGACAATTTCAATTTTTTCTCCATCTATCATGATGTTGCCTATCAGTCCAGTGGTAAGAATTTTTGCTATCTGGATGCTGAGATGCAATTCATGTTGAAGGCTATATTCTTTGATCTTCTGCAACAAGTGCTTCAAACCCTCTCCACTTTCAGCAAGGAAGATTGTGCCTGTCATCTGCAGGGTATTGGTGAGTCTTCCTCTGATCTTGATGCCACATTCTTCTTCATAAAGGCCACCAGTATCCCACATGTTGTTGTTGTTATGTGCCATTGAGTTGTCCATGACTCATTGCGACCCTGTGTACAACAGCTCTGAACCTTTCTCTATCCTGAGCCAGTCTCACTGACTGTGATATACCTAATATCACTGCCCCAGTTACTGTGTCAATCCATCTTATCCAAGGTCTTCCTCTTCTGTGCTGTCTCTCCACCTTTCCAAGCATGATGTCCTTCTCCAAGGACTGGTCCCTCCTGGCCACATGCTCAAACTATGTGAGACAGAGCTTCAAAATGTTTGCCTCCAAGGAGAAACTGGGTTTCACCCTCTCCAAGACAGACATATTTGTTCTGCTGGTGGTCCAGGGTATGTTCAAGACTCTACTCCAACACCAAAACTCAAAGGCATAATTCTTCTTCTGTCATCCTTATTCATTGTCCAGCCCTCTGATGCATAGCAATAATTTTGTGAAGACCATGGCCTGAATCAAATGCACCTTAGTCTTTAGACTGACATCATTGCTCTTTAGAGCTGTGGAGAGGTCCCTGACAGCAGACTTCCCCAGTGCAATGCATCTTTTGATTTCCTGACTGCTGGTACCAAGAGTGTTGATTGTGGAGCTGAGCAAGCTGTAATTGTTAACAACCTCAATGTCTTCTCCATCCATCATGGTGCTGCCAGTTGGTCCAGTGTTGAGAATCTTTGTCTTCTTGATGTTAAGCTTCAATCCATATTGAAGACTACAGTCCTTGAGCTTCTGAAGCAAATGCTTTATGTCCTCTTCACTTTCCAAAAGCAAGATTGCACCATCTGCATAATACAGATTGAGTTTCTTCTTCCAATCCTGAAGCCACACTCTTTCTCTAAGACTCAGCCTTTCAAAGCAGATCCAATGATCTGTCCTGCATACAGACTGAAAACGAATGGAGACAGGACACATCCCTGACACATTCCCTTCCTAATTTTGAACCATGCAGTGTTTCCTTCACTTGAGCACTTCAAAGCCAAGAATTTCTACCACAAAATGACCAATGCCTCGGTGTATTTCTACCCATCCTGAAAGACCTCCGTCAAACACAGCTCCCTGTATGGGCCTGGGTGAGATGTCTCTCACTGCACACTGACAGCACTCTGTTCTTGAACTCACTATGATGTTGATATTTAGCAGCTTCTGTGTCTGCTTCCCCAACTAGATGTGAGGTCACTGAAGTGAGTCACATTCATCTTAGAATTCTGGCATTCAATGCGTTGTCTGCACAAAGGAGCTTGAACTATGCTGAGCATCTCAGGAGCCTGAACAGCACTGAGCATCTCAGATCATCTACAGACCTCTCTGAAGGCATCACATCTGCAGTGGCTCCATTCCAAGTTTTACTTTCTGAGGGTAACCTTTTCCTGACCCTGTATTTTTTAGAGTTCTTCTCATTACCAAGCACAGATTTTAAAAAGTTGTTTTTGTATTAAGAAGTGATTAAAAGCAAGTAGCTTGAAGCTAGGAAGCTCTGGCGGCCTAATGGATTAGGAGCTTGGTGTCAGCCCAAAGGCAGGTGGTTCAAATCTACCAGCTGCGCTATGGGAGGAAAAGGGACCATCTCCTCATGTGTGATTTAAACCCGCCAGAGGACCAGTCATGGGTCAGTTTCGACTTGACAGCACACAACAACAACAACATTGTAGGGGATATCTGGTAGCCTAGGATGTAGGAAGTTGCACTGTTAACTGAGACGTGGCACTACCCTGGGAAGTTGGATCCACCAGCAGCTAGAGGGAGAAAAATGGGTCACCTCCTCCCAAGTGGTTTACCGCCTCCAAAAAACAGCTGGAGGCCCAGCTGTGAGTCAGTTCTGATGTAACGCCAACAAGATGGTTTCATTTCTTTCTTCCTTTCTGTCATAACTGCCCAGAATCTCAATGTCCTTTTCTGTATAATGAAACTGCCAAGGACTTAGGACTGGTACTCAGAATGAATGAATACAGGACATAAAAGGGTGACCAGCAAGTGCAGTTCTCTCTTCTTACTCTTAGATTGCAAGTTCAGACTCTGACCCCAGTAACAAGAAGCATGTTAAAGAACTCTCAGTGCCCAATTAAATTCTAGAATAAACTACTCAGACCTGTGAAAACAGGCTCCCTGACCTTATAAAAGCCACTCCATTCTCCTGGATCTGTTTTATCATTTGGAGGATGAGGCTCTTAATATTTACCTATGAGAATTATGGGAGGATTAAAGGAAAGAAGGGATACAGAGTCAGCCCAGCACCTGCCCTGGGTAAACCCACACACGAGATCTCTGCCTCCCCCTGCTAAGGCAGCACCCCAAAATGAGAGGCATTCTGTCCCAAGGTCACTCAAACGAGAGAAGCAGGATTATTTCCCACAGCAACTCAAAATGAGAGACTGTTGAAAGAACTTGAGTTGGTTCGTGCTCAGAAAAAATTATTTCTTGGAGTCTATTTACCTGGGAATATATTTGAAACCAATGCTCCTCAGGGAGTAAGAGAGGCCCAAGTCACATTCATTTTTCTGTAGTTTCTAGTATAATGAGAAAAATGTAAAAAAAACAAAACAAACAAACCCAAATAAAATTAAGCGAGGTTAAAAGTATTACAGCTTACCTTAAATGTTAATGTACACACACGCACACACTGAAGCGAATCTGATTGTACTAGTCATAGGGTAATTACTGGAAACATGTATTTTTAAAAATCTTAATTTATAGAGCGTTACAGGCGATGTGGGTGGGTAATGGAACACAAATTTTTTCAATTGCCTCAGGTCTCCTGCTTGCTGATCACATGGGTAGTTTGAGCTTCAAGTGGATCTAAATGCTCTCTCTTCTTCCTTTCTCTCTCTCCCTCCCTCTCCCTCTCTTTTGAACCACGCACCTGTGAGATGGAGGGACAGCGCAGGAGGGGAAGACCCTCGATGAGATGGATTGATTTAGTCACTGGAGGGTAATGGGGACAGGTGTGTCGGAGACAATAAGATTGGCCAGGGTTAGAGCAGGGTTTAGGGCTGTTGTACGTAATAGGGTGTAATAGGGTCGCTATGAGACGCAGGCAACATAACAACAACCACCTGTGAGATTGCCCCGCACTTTCTTACCACTAGGTCACCAAAGCTCCCAGGGGCTAGGGTAGTAACCCATACACAGCAAGTGGCCAGGACATATGTGGGACTAGAGCAAGATTCTTGACTTCACGGTTTTATGGCGCTCTCAGACGCACCCGGGAGCCTGGCCCAGCCGCTGGCAGGCTGTCCCCGCGGACCACTCGGCACCCCCAACACCCGGCCTGGGAGCAGCACGGCAGGGGGTGGAGACAAGGAGCAGGCGCGGTCCCGCCCGCGGACGCCCGGGGGGCGCGGCAGGCTCTCGGGGCCCCGCCCCAGCGGTGTACCAGCGGGAGGCGCCCAGGGTTCGGGGCTCAGAGCCGCGCGGCCACCAGCGCCATGAAGATGCACTTCTGCATCCCGGTGTCCCAGCAGCGCTCCGACGCGCTAGGGGGTCGCTACGTGGTGCGCAGGGGTGCGGCTGGCTGGGCGCGGGGAGCGAGGGGCAGCGTAGAAACGGGGTTCACGTGCGCCCTGGGGCTGACCCGGGCCCCCCGGGTTTGTGTGTTTGCAGTTGTATTCTGTGTACCTGGACGGGCTCCTCTTCTGCCGCGTGCGCTACAGCCAGCTGCATCGTTGGAACGAACAGGTGAGCGGGTCCCATTAAGGCTCTGGCTGTGGGACTCTGGGAAGACACTCAACATTCGGAGATCTCAGACTTAAGTCTGTGAAGCCCGTCATGGAAATGAATTGTGAATGGAACGGCTTGGCCTGCAGCTCAATGAATACATGTTGCCAGTTCTGAAAGTTCCTAGGTAGCGAGAACAGGTTGTGCTATATTATTAATGCGAAGGTTGGCGGTTCAAACCTACCTAGGAGGACCTCAGAAGAAAAGTCTGGTGATCTATTGCTATAAAGATCAGGACCCTACTGAAAAACTCATGGGAGAAGTTCTACTCTGAAGCACATGAGGCTTCCATAAATGGGGTTGGGCTAGTCCGCAAAGACTTCTAATCATCAATGTTTCTGAGATTAGGGAACAGGTTCTCCCAACTTCTTTCCAACTCCAAGAACCCCATCAGCTTCAGCGGGTAGAAGGCTGGAACCATCCACAGTGGGCTCCATTTCAGTGCCAGTTGTTCCCCTGGCCTTGCCCCCCCAAACCCTTCAAAACTAGCACATTCACTCTAAACCAAGGGACCCTGAGGTGTAGAGTCTCAGGAATAGCGTGTTTGGATATTTAATCTCCTTTCTCCACAGGACTTGTTAGATTTGCTGTTCTTGTTGATTATCTTTGAGTCGAGCACAACTCATAGCGACCCTATGAACAGAAGGCCTGATGCCTTTCTATCACTATCGACGTTCATCAAAGTTCATAGAGTTTCCGGAGGCATGTTATTTAGGAAGTGAATGCCACTCCTGCTTCTTAGATTAACTTCCCTTTAAAAGGTGTGTCTCTATTTTAATTTTCAAACAACTATATTCATTGGTTTCAAGTACTGGCAGGCTCAAAATCCAGGAAATGGATGACTTACCAAGTTAGGAGGCTATTTCCTACTCTATCTTCTCATTCTCTTAACCCTTTGATATTTTCTCTGGAAGCACACTGATTTATTAGTCTGCTCTAATGTGGTTTTTTCCTTCTAATGAGGAGATGTTGTAAGTCTTTAGAACGGGCTAGAGTTTGGGACCAAGTCCATTCTCTCCTTTGCCCTCCATTAGAAGTTTCTCACCCCCCTCCCCTTTGCTTTCTCCACTGTCCCTTTACCTCATTTTAATACTCCACATCACAATTATAAAGAACTAAGGTTTAAACTTAAAACACACATGCACAATTTAATGAAACAGATAATTCGTGAGGACAGCAAAAACAAACAAACAAACCAAAACCAAAACAAAAAAAAAAACCAAACCAAAAAAAAACATGCCCAGAGGTAATCTTACCATTGGTGAGTCAAGGTTTCTGTGAATGGACAGCTCAGTTTTTCTACTATAGGTAGTCCTCAATTTATGACAGGGGCTCGTTCTGACTGTCATTATAAATGTGTTCTGTTGTAAGTAAAATACCTCATTTTAAAAAAGTCGTTACATTGCTTCTTATACTATGTTTCTACCAGAGCTATGGTGGCCTATTGGTAAGAAACTGCAGTGCAATCCCAAAGGCACAAGGTTCAAATCCACCAGCCGCTCTGCAAGAGAAGGATGGGCAATCTCCTCCTATGTGATTTACTGCCTCTAAAAACTCACTGAAGGTTCAGCTATGGGTTGGTTCCAACTTAGTGGCATACAACGATGTACTATCTTTCTAATTCTCATCTTTGTATTTGGAGGTCAGAAGCATTACATGGAAACTTACAGATATATTTTAATATGTTGTTATTAGGTGCTGACTCTATGAACAACGGACCTGAACCCTGTCCTATCCTATGCCAGCCACACAGTCTCTGACACACTATAAAGCCCATTGCTACAGTCACTGTTAATACACTTGGCTGGACGTCTTCCTCTAAAACTTTGTTCCCACAATGAGGAAGAAGTTAGTTAGATGATGTTGGCATTTTGTTAGTTCTGGGAAGAGGGATGACATTTCTACTCAGGAAATTGTGGAGAGTTGCTTGTACAGTCCTTTTATTTTTCATGTATTCTTTGGTAACATCTCGCTGTTTCCCAGATCTGTGGACTATAGAAAAGCAGTCAGGATTTGGGTCTCTTATTTTCAAGCAACTGAAGCCACTGCTTTAGTTTAGAAAAAAAAAAACCCGAAAACCCCCAAAACAAACAACAAAAAAACAAAACCCAACAAGAGAACAAACAATATCCTCTAATCCTTCTACTGTAAAATTTTTTTACAATTTCTCTCCTTCCTCTTCCTTATTATTTTTTCTTCTTCAGAATCTCTTTTGACTTCAAAATCTGTTAAGTCTTCATTTTTCAAGTTCCCTTCTTCACGATCTCTGAGCTGTTCCACATCCACAGTTCCAAGTTAAAAGAGGAATTTTTTCCATTTGGGTAATTTTCCCACTGACCTCTTTGATTGTATTATCTGAATCAAATCCATGGAGCACGTTCAGGTAAGCAACTTGTCTGCATCCCCTGCATCCATTGTCTGCCCAGATGTTCCTCCCAAGAAGATGAACTAATGACCAAACCTGAAAAAACCCATTGCTGTCCAATTGGAACTGATTTACAGCTGACCCTCTAGGGGTTTCAAGACTTTGAGTCACACAGGTGATTAGTCCTTTTTCTTCTGTCGAGTAGCTCGTGGCACCAGAGAGGCACGGCCTTTGGGTTAACAGCACAACTCCCTCTCCACCTCCAGACTTATCCTCTGTTACTAACAATGACTGTCATTGCTGTCAAGTCAGAACTGCCTTACACAGACTGGTTGGTTTTCTGCAGCTATAAAGAGGGTTCCCCAATGGTCTTCAACAGTTTCGGCCTGCGGAGTGGGGATTTCTGAGGTCCCTTGTGCTGGCCTGCGTCTTCCCTTGTAAAAATTCCTATCCCACGCCCTCCGTGTGTCCCCAACGGTTCCACTTTAGTTTGCTTGGCTCCACAGTCAACACTCTTGGCACCAGCAGCTAGGAAATTAAAAGACATATTGCAATGGGAAAGTTTGCTGTTAGGGACCTCTCCAAACTGAAGAGCAATGGTGTCACTCTGGAGACTAAGGCGCATCTGATACAGGCCATTGTCTTTGCAATCATTTGCTATGCATCAGAGAGCTGGACAATGATTAGGGAGGATAGAATGAGAATTGATGCCTTTGAGCTGTAGTGCTGGAGAAGAGTATAGAATGTACCATGGGCTGCTAAGAAAATGAACAGGCGCATCCTGGAGAGAGTTAAACCAGGCTGCTCTTTGGAGGCAAGGATTCTGAGACTCCATCTAACATACTTTGGACATGTTGTAAGGAGGGACCAGTCCTTGCAGAGGGATGTCATGCTTGGGAGGGTGGAAGGACAGCACAGGCAGGGAAAACCCTCTATGAGGTGGATTGATTCAGTGACTGGGGTAATTGGAGTGGGTGTGTCAGAGACAGTTCAACTAGCACAGGACAGAGCAGAGTTTAGGGCAGTTGTATATAGAGTTGCTGGCAACTTGATGGCACACAAAAACAACATAAAGAGGGAGCTTGGCCGTCTTTCTCCTGAGTAGCTGCAGGCTGGTGAATTTGAACCATCAGTAAAGTTCCACCTTTGCATCTGTGCAGCTCTTTACAGAGACTATGCTCCCCCCAAATGTCTCAAACAGTTGTTGTGGGTGTTTTGTTTGTTGTTGTTTTTTTAAAAGACAGTACTGAGTGTGGTTTGTCATAACTGGACTAGATAGTTAGCAGCTGTTGTTATTGTTAAATGTTGTTGAGTATGACTTGTGGTGACCCTGTGAACAATAGATTTGACCTATGTCAAAGAGAGACCCTGTCTTCTCCTGTACCATCTTCTTCATCTCTGGCGCACTTGACCTACCAGTATGGAAAATGCCCTTGCAGTGAGTCTTCTTGCTTATGTTTCTGTTGGGTTCCATCAAATGAATATCAAATTATAGCAACTCTATGTGACAGAACCAAACCTAGGATCGTCTTAGCTGTTAACTTTACAGAAGCAGATTGCCAAATATTTCTCTCATAGAGTCACTTAGTGGATTTGAACAGTCATCATTTTGACCAGCAGCCTAGCACATAGCCATTACACCTTCAGGCCTCCTTCAAAAGAATAGAAAACAGAATGTGAGATTAGAAATTACTTAAAGATTATAGAGTACATCTATTCACGGAACTTTTCTTTTAAATGAAGATACTACTTACATGTTTAAAAAATAATTTGAGATGTTTGATGAATTTTGGAAAATGGACTTAATTACCAACATCATAATTATGATGAAAGTCAAAGTCTTGGCTGCTGTGTTGAACCCTCTCCAGTGGGTTACTAAAACTGAAATTCACATGGGAGAAGATTTCTCATCTTTTTTCCCCTCAAGCATCTGGTGGATTCAAACTGTCAGAGAGGTGTGACCTTTGGATTAGCAGTGCAACTCCCTACAGACAGACTGTGCCATCAGACCTCTCTGCTCTTTAAACAGAAAGGTGATATTAAGATCCCCTCGTTCATGTGCCTTTGTGTGTGTGTGCATTTGTGAAAGTAAGTTTATTTCTAGGGAAATTCTATATTCCAGTAAAATAGAAATTCCATTTTCTAGAATTAACTCGTGTGCTTTGCAATATCCCTCCTGGGTATTGGTAATATGCTCAGCTATTAACTGACAAGTTCAAGTGTGAATTCACTCAGGAAGTTCCTTGAAAGAAAGATTTGACGACTCGACCCGTTTCCCTAAAATCAGCCATTTTGGGGAAATGGGTTGTCGTGACTTGAGTATGTCTTGATGTGCCTGGTTTACTGCTATCTTGAGAAATGTTTACTAAGTTCCTGATTGAATGAAGACAGTCCCTTAAGCACACATGTGATTGTTGGCTTTAAGATTTGGATTTATAGCTTGTGTGCTGAGGTTGAGGAGGAGCCAGCAGCCGAAGTGAGGTGGCCCGTGGTCCATCCCAGCTGTGGAAAGCGAATGCGATGCGATTGGACCTGGGGAGGGAGATTGGAAGTAGACTGTGACTTGCACTCTCTGAAGCTGTCACTTGCAGCCCTG